TCTAGATATTCCTGGAGAGTTTGGGTGTCATTGATTTTAAAAACATAAGGAGCAATTTTTTCTCCTTGAGCTTTTTTGAGAATGCTTCGAATAGTGCTGTAATTCTTGGGTTCCATGGTCGATTTGATATAAATTAGTTTCATATTAATATTTTTATATATAGGGGTAATCCTATATTAATCCTGTTCTGGTTTATATTCATCACATTTTGGTATGATAAAGTGAGCATTAAAATTAACAAGTCATAAGTTATGAATGAGCACCATTATTACTTTCAAAATGTCATTAGTATTAGTCAAATTAGTCAACTTTCAGTCACACCAGCCTCTTATTTCAGAATGTTCACTTTGTCTGGTTTTGTTGCAGTCTGCCCCATCTGTTCAAAGAGACGTCTGTGGATCACAGTTTTCGGTTACTATTGACTATGTAATATTAATATTTATTATTATTACAAACAGATATCTTATGCTTACAGACAATCGATCATGTTAAAAAGCTTACTCAGCTATGCTTGATTCAAGAGGACAGATGAGTCAGCAGACGTTGGACGAAATTCCAACAAAGAGTATTGGATATTGTCTAAATACGTGTTTAATTAAAGATATTTGACTCTTGTTTATGCCTACTTCCTCCATATTACGTGTACAGTTCATTAATTTGGTTGCAAGAGCTCTTTGTTGAACATATGTTTTATTGCTATTCAAGATGTCTGTCACTGTTGACGCAAGCACTGTTAATAAACAGATTATTTTAATCTGACAGTGTCAATTCTCTGATAACTAATGATTTTATAGCTCCAACGGAGATCAATACTCTCCAAGTGAAACTGTCAAATTATTGGAGACATGGCTCCAGAATCAGTCAGCGTCAAGAGCAATGCCTAAAGCAAGAAACGCGTTTAAGCACCAGTTTCTGTTAACGAAGTAAGAATAAAGCAATAGCAAACTGTCAACACGTTTCATATGACAAAAACGGTCATCAACTATCAATATTTATTTTTTGAGATCGAGTGACGACTGTTATTATAGATTATGTTTTTTGAGGTTATCGGAGGATTACATAAATAACCATGTAGACGAGATAAGACACTGCTCGAAGAATTTAGAGCGAACAAAGCAGAGAGCACTTTGAAGTAGCAGCAGTGTTAAATGTAACCTACATAAGATGACGAATGTGATGGCGATTCGTAAAAATAAATTTATCCGACTACAAAAAAAATGATAAAAAAGGGTGATACAGGTGTGTCATTGGTTGGGTGCCAACACTAATTCAGAATTAGTAGAATCCTTCCGTATAAATATCTCTGTATTTATAGACTGATATTAATACTTTACTTTATTCACGAACGACCGTTCGTCTTCACATTCCAATTACTCACGTAGCTTGATAAGGCCTTACAAGAATCCGCAGACGCCTTCACTTCGATCTCACAACAACTGCATAAAGAACTTCTAAAATTTTTTGAATTTATGGAAAATACGCGACCTATGGGGCTGTACCGTTGAACAGAACTCTATCGTATCCGACATCAGCATCCACGACATCATACACTGACCTTCCTCCCTATACGGAAACAATCGTATCTAACATTATTTCTTGACGACGATGACATTTTCCACGACCACATTGACTGGAGAAGAGGGTCCAACGTCTACCGTTCGTGTACCATTTCTCGTCGCTACGTTATATCGTTATAAGACAAAAGAAAAAACATGCTGTCATTTGAGCTCATATGCTTATAAACGGCTAGGTAACTAATTATATTGTAACTTATGGAATAGGACTTGGACTGAATATCCTCCTCTCCTGAGTATTCATGGTTGTTGAGATTCTTATCCTTTTGATTGGATTTCAATAACTTGGATTAAAATAATATAATACATCGTATACTTGCGTGTTTTAAGCGTGAAAAGAAGTGATTTATTCAATTCTATACAATTGTCCACTCAGCACATTGTATCCGCCGGCAGAAATTCAGAGCTTTTTGTAAAGCTGAATATCTTGGTAAAAATACAAATTACTGAATAATGCTTAGTACGCGTACGAAATTTGATATAATAACTAGTCTCCATAACTAGCCTAGCGAGTTGATGGACTGCTTAGGTGGTCGTTTTGACGACATCCAACTCCTCTCTATTCCCTCACCACTTTGCCACGCAATTCTCTGATACCTATTATCTTTAGCTCTCCGCTTTTATTGAAGACAAAGGCCGCATTCCTCCACTTTTCATCTACGCTCAAATTTCTAACCCGAAATATTCTTCGGATAACATAAGATCGGCACATGAAAGCAACTATAACGATACGCCTGGTATGCACCCGTTTTGAAGACAAAACCAGGGGAAGAACGTATCGCCCCAGGATTTACGAGCTAGGAAACGCCAGGTTTACAGAAACACACTCAAAAGATTCACATTCTCAACTTTTGGTAAAGCTGAAGGTCTGTCAGTCGTTGAAGAAAACTACGTAATAACGGTAGTATAATAATAATTAACGCGCGCGTATGGTTTTTGATGTCTGGAGTTGGTTTTGGAGACAAAACGAGTATCGCCCCAGGATTTACGAGCTTAGGAAATGCCGGGCTTACGATAACACACTAAAAAGATCTATACTTAACTTTCGCAAAGCTGAAGGTCTGTCAGTCGGTGAAATTAAAAATGTTCGGATTGTTTTTTTTTAACAATACATTCTTGATATACAAATTAGCTGAGCCGTTAAGCGTGAGAGCCTGTTGCTATTTGGATATCTCGAGCTGTGGTAAGAAAAAGCAAAAAAATATGAGTGAGCATTGAACAACTACTTGAAATAAGAATTTAATGTTACGTCTTTTTTTGTCTTTATTTTCTTTTGTTTTTTCGTTTTTAATGGCTTTAATAAATTATGAAACGCTAACCAAATCAAGAGGTCTTCTACTATTATAAGACTGGCCAGTCGCGATATAGTGACGATTTATGCCACTTACATATAAACTTTACCATATTAAAAATTTTCTGTTATAGTAAATTCTCGATATAGTAAAAAAAACCCCCCATCCCGTCGACTTTATTATATCGAGGTTTGACTGTATATATTAAATATAACAGCAAGCATTTTAGTATTTGGTTGGGGTTAAGGC